CACAAAACCCTAATTTGAAACCTAATCATTTTGGTCATAAAAATCAAGATGTCAACCCAACTCTTTCTGGAAAAACTATTTAAGAAGCATTGGTTTCAATCCACTGAAGCAATCTTGACATGAAAATAGAATTGTCATTCCCTCGTATTAAATTCATAACAGTGTAAAATTATCAAGTAGTTTATTTTTAAAATTGTAGTCCTGAAATTGCATTAGTGTATCATTCAACATTTACAAAAGAAACACCAACAAATTTGCTATCGCGCTATATGGCTCTGCTTATTTGAATACCTTTTCCTAAATGGAACCAGTCATATGGAATGATGATGAAGAGGAAATGCATAATCCTCCTATTATAGCAGTGATTCCACTGAGGGCTTCACTACTGTGAACTATATGTATGAAAAGCTTGGAAAAGCGAGAACGCTGACAATCTCCGAAAACTAACTATTATTTTAAATTTTAAAGGAGTTAATTGCTCACCATTTCAAATGCCAACAAAAAGGAAATTAAGTATTTTAATATTCCTTTTAAGAGGTGAACTAAAAACATTTTTCTGATAGAAAGTAGTTTGGCAAACAGCTTCCACATAACATAGGGGACTTCAAATAATTACAGGCCTCAAAAGCTTCATCAAACTCCTTCCTAAATGAGCAAGACTCCTATAATATATAACCCAGGAAATGTAAAACATAATTAAAGTTTATGCACTAAAGGAAAAAAAAAAAAAAAAAGCATTTCCTCCACCATTTTTGGCCTATACATAGTTTCACTTTCCAAATGTTCATTAAAAATAGAACCATTTCCCTTGACTACAGATAGCCTTACTGTGAATGCATTACTGTAACAGAGTAACTCACAAAGTTCAATGAGTTATTTATGCGTCTCCGAGTATTTGTAAGCATCCTCCCTAGAAAATAGCCAGTTTTACTACTCAAGCAGGATTTCACAGTTACTATCTTGGGAGAGATGGCGAATATACTCAATTCTCCACAGCAAGTTATTTCTAAGCCAGGGTTGTCCCATCAGTTCATATGCTAGTCTGTTCACACCCCTGGCAAAATTCCCAGTATTTTAACCGTGTCAGAGGTGTATTGGTGCAGTTTTCCTAGACAGTATTTCAGATCAATATTTCACTGGATACACACAATACAGAAACTACCTTGCTAATGAACATGTAGGCTTTTTCCTCCCACTGAAGAGGAAAAACAGCTAAAAAAATGTTAATTGAAGCAGAATGTAAAGTTCAACGGCTATGTAATGTTCAACTGTGCTGACCTCTTACTTCCCAAATTGCTATTGGTTTTGAAATACATAAAACAGTCCTTAAGGATATATTTACAATGACGAGTAAGTCAAATGGCTTGGCTAAATATATTTTTCAGTGTGAAGAATTTAAAAAGTCTTACACTGAGTTTAGTACACTAAATTCAGTGTGTGTGGTTCTCATATGTTGTTATGGATTAAGAAAATAATATATACATATAAGGAATATAAGGAATACCACTGCTCCTGTCAAAAAATAGACAAACTAAAAATAAGTATAGAAATTCAAAATCCAAGGAAACACAAGTCTGATCTACATTTCATACAAATCTGAATTTAGTCTGACATAATCAAATGAATCTAAGTGTACTGCAAACCTTCCTGTAGGTTAGGAATACCAAGGTGAACTGCTTACGGAGTATCGACTTTCTCCTGTGTAATCTAGCTGACTTCTCAAACGTCTTCCTATGCCAAGAATTAGAAAAATCTCTTCTCGCACCTTGTCTCTTGAGGGGCACTTCCACATGTAGCCCATACAACTTCACGACTTGACTTTGCCATTGAAACTCACTCTCACAGACAGGGGATACATGCTGTCACAATTCCGGAGATGTCCCTGGAATGTGCCCTATTACTTTAATATTTTCTCCATTAAGACACATTGAGGAAAGTAGAAAGGACGCAGCTTAAGATATTGAATAGATGAAATAAGATAGAACAGATTTCTAACTGGTGTTCAGAGAGTTGAAGTAATACCTAGACCAGTTTGGTAGAACTTAATTACAGGAAAATGCTAAGCTTTATTTTATCCTGACTTTGGGGAAATTGTTCTCACTTTCCCATGATGATTATCTCAGAATTCACATCCCTCTGCACACATCAGCTCCTTTTTCTCTTCCACAATTTTTCCTCACCTTTTTTCTCTACTACCAAATTACGAGAGTCCATACAGATTTATTAAGGAATGTGGGTTGGTATTACAGTGCTTTACACTAAATAGACCACAAGATTTGAGAAAATGTAAACTGTGCCAGCTGAAATTTTCCATTTTGTGTCCATCTCAAACTAAATTTTAAGCATCAGCTAGAAAGGTAGACTCACTTAACAAAAAGCAAAAAAAAAAAAAAAAAAAAAAAAAAAAGTCTCAGATCTAGTGTTTGTCCATGCTTAAAACAATTTTATCAAATAGCCCCCAAAACCTCACTGCTTTGGATTAAGGAATTTCATTTCCTAACCATGGAAGCAGGTGCAATTACCTTTACAGAACTGTAGACCTGTAAAAGGTGAATATGGGTACGCCATTCACTTGTCTCCCTTGGTACTCAGAGTAAGATGCTCTACTCTCCAGCTCTCCTTTATCCTTTCTGTTAAAGTCCTGTTATTTCAGCCAAATCACATGTTCAAAGATAGTCTGTTCTGAAAACTCAAATCTCCATGGGTTCAATTTTCCTGTGTAATCTTTACTAACCAACAGCTATATACACTTCCTGCAGAGGCAGAACAAGAGTTCAGATGATTGAGAGCTCGGGTGAGTCCTGCCCTCATCACTCTGTGAAGCCCAGTTGCAAAGCATGAAGCACTGTATTCTTGTAGTGGCACTTATGCAGAACAAAAGAGTGCAGAATAAAATACAATAAAATAACGGGTAGTATGAGTTCTTGCAGTTGCAAATTAGAAGTTCAGTTGTGTATGTAACTACATTTTCACAACTACCTTGTAAGAGGGGGAAAAAGTAGCAAATCTCTTCCTCCTGTTTACCTTTCACCACTTTAAAACAGGGATAGTTACCCAACCATCTCCCTGCAACCAGACCAGACACCAAAAATGAGGTTTTGAACAGTTCACGAATTTTAAAATCAGTTCTCCAATCTGTATTACAGGAGTCACCAACCTGGGCATGCAGCACAGCAAATAGCCTCTTCAGCCTTAATTACACTGTTCTTTAGGCCCACATCACACACAGCTGGATGCAAAACATTTCAGGTACAACAAATTTCCCCATGAAGGTGAGGGGAGCCATTTACTAATCAGCTCAAATTCAACAGAGAGTTTATACTAAAATTTATGTCCAGGGTCCAGAGCCCACCCTGCAAAGGGCACCAAGTCAACCTTTTCTCTTTTGGACCATTAGCAGCAGGGCCAACAGCTGATCCTCAGGGCTGATTTTGTGGATGCTTATGCAACATTGGAGAGCAAGAACCAAATTTAAAACTCAGGCAATATGCAGGTTTTTAAGTCCAGGTACCAAGCTCATTTTGCAAGAGGTTTCCTTTTGTGAATTTAATTGTGCTAAAACGGAGAGCCAAAGAAAAGCCATAAATGTTAACAGACTGCTACCTAATCAGGTACAAAAATGTGTGCATTTTTTCTAGAATTCATTTGCAAACAGCCGTATTAAAAAATAAAGGACACATGTTCCAATATACTCTTTTCAAATGGGATCCAAAATTCTTGGGAGATGCAACTCAAAGGAGCAGAAGAGGGTGGGTGTGGTTTGATACGTTTGTATGTACAAGGACAAAATATTTAAGCTTATTACCCAAACTGAACCCAATAAACTTTCACAGATTTTAAACTCCATTCAATAATATTTATTTTTCTTTCAGCACTTAGAAAAGTCTTGTAACTCAGCAAAAGATCTGCACCTACAATACCATCTATGAAACTTTTTGTGATCTCAACTATATTGAAAAAAGCACTGAACTGGAACTGGTAAAGCTTGCACATTTGTATTAAGAACTTCTCTCTGTATATGGGCCTTTTTATCCACATTACCTGCTTGACATGAATTAAACTGCAATTGCTTAATATCTCTACTGAGAAATCAAGCAAGACTAAATACATTAAGCTAAAGTACTAAAAAAAGATTTTTTTTAAAAAAAGAAGTTGACTCCACAATCTAAATCTCAGCAGCAAATACAGGACCCTCTCAAAAATCAGAGCACAAAAATCCTGGCTGGCACTTTCTAGGAGATCGGAGAGTCACAGGGTCAAAACCTGAGAGCTGCAGGCAAGTGCATTTGATCCTCGGGCAAGAGGCCTCCCCCCATTCCAGTACATGTGTGATCAGGAGTCTCAGTAGAGGAGTTACATAAACAGTAACCAAGTCTGAGCTCACGAGCTTATGCATATTCCAAAATCCTCAGCCTGCAGCGTCCCAGCCCCTGTTCTTGATAACCTGTGCGTCCAATCAGGATAGGAGAATTCCTTATGACTCCAGCTGCTCTACTCTGCAGAAAAGGTGAAAAATATGCAAAAAATGAGTGAAGAAAATCAAGTCATAAATTCTCCACATACAATAAAACAGCATTTAAGGAATTCCTGCAGCATCTCAGAAAATTTGGGTAACAATTCAGGCAGTTCTCCTCACTTGCTTCAGTAGAGGGAGCCAAATTTTCATCACAGATGCAGCAGTACTTCAGATTTCCCCAACACATTACTCTGAAATCACTGCAGCAGTATAGCTTGAACACTGCCCAGCCAGAGACAAGCAAAGGTGTTTCAGCACATCTCCATTTCCAAAGCTGTGCAGATTCCCACTAGATGTTAATCTTTGGATAGGAAGAGGGAAACAGCAGAACCCTAGAGACTGGAGATTGCACAGACACTCCATTACCTTCTCAGGAAGTAGACACCACTGAAAGACAACAGACCTAAAACTTACTACTCCTGAAATTTAAAGTTTTCTTTCACAAGTACCCACCCATCAATGACACACAAACACACACACTAAATCAGGCCCAATATTTATTTCTCAATTCATTTCTTGCACTTGAAGTACTCTTCGATGACATCTTTGGCCTGAGATTCCTTGCCATAGTCCTGTAATTAAAAAAAAATAGCATCATACAGACACACTCAAAAATTTATAATCTGTGTTTTAAAAAGCAGCTGACATTTTCTGATAAGTTTTTTTTCTGAGAGCATTCCTAAATATACCCCTCCCCAGGGGTATATCCCTGGTAACATCAAGCAGTATCACATTTCCCAGCTACTTTTTCTTAATTTCCTAAAAATGGACTACTCAAATGTAAGACACTCTTTATGAAATGAGTAAAAAAAAGTATTAACAAACAGGCAGAGATCATTAATGTCTATAAGGAAGATGTAGCCATCTGTTGGGACCTCAGAGACAACAAAGTCTGCAAGGCTCGTACTGTGGCTTTACTTTGCCAGCATTACCTTAAAATGTGCTCTGCAAAACACTGTGAGGTTAAGCAGATGTAAATAGCTGGCACTTACATTTTTTTTCAAGGAGAACCTCCTCTCTTCCAGTAATAAAAATAGTCTTTTTTCATGTTGACTAGCAAGTGACCCTATCTGCTTTAAGGACTAATATATTAATTATGTAAATTAATACAAGTATAATTTTAAATAAACACTTCACAAAAGTAAATATTGAAGAGAAAAAAAAACAGTTTTTTTTACTGTCACTACCAACAAGGGAGAACAACCATTTTAAACCCCAAGAACTCCAGGTCAGTTTTCATTTAAGACATCTCTACATTTTCACCACTTGTTTTTAGAAGTCAAAATAAGCTAGAATTAGCACCATCTCACCTTGACAACCACACAGCTGCAGCCCACCACTTTGCGAGGTTTTCCTTCTCTGTCGATCTTGCAGAGACCAACCCATTCGCCCAGTTTTTTGTTGTCATCAACCTGTGCAAGACAGAACTGCATTAGGACTAGGCAATTATGAAAAAACTGTGTTGAGCAAAATAAGCTGCTGTACACTCAGAAACACTGGGTAACGTATGGCTGCTTTCCTCACTAGTGTCAGTAGAGGGAGCCAAAATATCATCACTGTACAGCTCCTATGGATATGAACTATGGATTTAATAGTGGATGTTTAGTAAAGGATTTTAATATAAGTTTCTTGTACTGCTGACATAACCAAATAGATATATATTGCGTGTATATATATATATATGTATATAAAATCATATGTGGAACTGGAGCACAACGCTTCATGGATTCAGCTCTCTGAAGTTTACCAAGTAATGTACCATAGACAATTCTTCTAAACTCCATGTGAAGTTCTGACACTTACCTTTATTAGGTTGATCTGGTGTTCTGCACAAAGTGCTTCAACTAGCTTTACGTACATAGGTTCATCACAATTTGAAGCCAGAACACAGAGATGGGCTTGACGTCTAAAAACAGGCAAAAACTGTCAAATGTAACTTCAAAGGCTAAGTTTCTCTTTAATAATCAAAACCTAAAATACAAGAATCAGTGCATGCTTGTAGATAACAGCTTTAATTTTTGCTTTTGATACATTTTGTAGACTTTTGAAACAATCTACTTATGCATTTAATGTTTTTATATACATCACACACTAATTAGAGACACTGTTAGCTTTACCAGAATCTACTCATTCTGGAAGTGTCTTAAAATCCTACAGAGTAACTTCCCAGTCTTTTGAAAACAGTGTACTGACCACAAACATCAGGTCCTACAAACAACTGGCATCACTATTAAAAAGCAACCCATTTACAAGTTGCTCACACTCATATTAATTCAATATCAGAACTGAAATTATTAAAAGCTAGAATTATGTCAAACTGTTATAAGCTCTTCAGAACAATCTTTTCTACTTACGTCCAAAGAAGCTGTTATGACAGGGCCTCAATTCTAATTAGGCTCTCTGTACACTGCAGTACAATGTTAAGAATATCAAAGGGGTACCTGACAACAAAGAGAGCTGTATAGGTCTTCTATGTTTAAATTGATATAATTTGACCACTGTAAACAAATACAGTTTCCCTATATGGCTTTTTTCACCACCAATTTCATCTTATCATTCCATAAACAGCTTCCAAGCAAAAATGGTCACAAACTTATGGAAAATCTGCACATAAAGCAATCCCCAATCACACACTATGCAACGTTGCATTTTAAAAGTTCCTAGAAACTATTTTCCAATCAGCTGGGTTCCATTTCCTTTCCTTCCTCTTTTGTTTGGCACTTCATCTAGGAGAATTAACATACAGGTTTGTCAGACCACTGTTGTCACTCACAGGAAGAGTGAAGGGGTATCCGACAAAGTAGGAAGTCATCATTCAAACACTGTAGCTTTGCACTTAAAAACTGGGTCTACTCTTAAAAGTATTTGTCTACACTACTTCACCTTACCAGAGACTGTAATTGGATATTACTGCTGGCACAGGTAGAGCAAGTTTAAGTTTTAAATGCTGTTTTCACATGGTATCTCCAAACAATTATTTAATTCCTTACAAGTTTCAACACAAAAAAGTGAAGCTGGCAAAAAATAAAAGCAGATTATATTGACTTTTGAGATTTTCCTTAGTTAAAAAAAAATCTAAAAAGCTTCAAATTCAAGTATTTTAGACATACATATTAACCCTCTCCAGTCAACTCCTTACAAACTTTTATCATTTTACTAAGCAGAAGCACTACAAGATTCCTGACATCCTGGCAAATTTCCCAAGGTGTACACTGACATCTTCTTTGCAACACTCAACCCACATAAGATTTCATAGCACCAGGATCATCAGAAAAACAAACTTAGTAGGTCAAAAACTCTTACTCACAGATCATCAAATTCAGCTTCTGTATTTTATGATCATAATTAAAGGCCTCAAAATACTAAGACGAAAACATTGATCTCTTAGTTCTAAGTACAACGCTTCAAACCAAAAGCTCTTAACTAAGTCCTAGACAAGGCAAGCACTGTGCATGCAACAACCTACCTTTCCCAGCTTTGCTGCTCACTGCACGCTCAGGGAAAACAACACTTACTTGTCCAGGGCTTTGGCTGCTTCCCGAATACCACGAGCAAGGCCATCATGGATGAGTGCGGTCTTAAGCACTTCTTGCAGGGCGGTGTTAACATCCATTACACCTCCAGCAGTAATGCTAGACACAAAAAAGGCGTCACCCTGCTGTCACTACAGGCACAGGCAGCGCGAGCCTCCCCATGGGCCTGCAATACGCAGCTGTTACCGTGTTAAAAGGCTCACACTTACCTGCTTAAGTAAAATTATATCTTTGTGGCAGGTTACTTTTTAAGGCTGTGGAAGACTTAAACTGTAGCAACACCAAAATCCAATAATACCATTTCCCAACTTTGTCTCATTTGGAAGTGTTTTTAAACACTTGGATATATGTTACTATCCTTAAACTTAATTCATTTTGTGCAGACAAAGAGTAACAAATTAAAATCATAGAATTACAGAGTAGCTGAGTTTGGAAGGCACTTCTGAAGATTGTCTGGTCCAACCCCCTGGCTAAACAGGGTCGGGTTGAGCTGGTTGCTCATGGCTGTGTGTGGTTGGGTTTTGAGATGCCCAGTTTCCATGGGCAGCCTGTTCCGGTGTTTGATCCCCCAAAGTGATCCACAGAATTCTTAGGGTTGTAAGGGACCTCCAGAGATCATCTAGTCCAACCCCCTGCTCCAGCAGGGACACCTAGAGCACAAGGCACAGGGTGGCATCCAGGCGGGTTTGGAAGATCTCCAGAGAAGGAGACTCCACAGCCTCTCTGGGCAGCCTAATAATAATAATAATAATAATAATAATAATTACGAGCGCCCTCTGCCACCGTGGCTACTGGTGGCGCTTTATGCACTGTCCTCCTGGATCGCTGGCACCGTGCAGCGGCAGGGCCGCGGGCCGGGGTGACTCCCCAGCCAGGCACCGTCCGCACGGTGCCCGGGTAGGCGGTCACCCACGCAGCACAGCGCGGTGCGGCCGCGGACATGGGTTAGGTGTGCGCCCGTACGGAGCCCGGGGGGACAGCGGCCACCTACACACCCCGGGGCAGAGGGACAGCCAGCACCTATACACCTGGTGCAGAGCCCACGAGGGACAACGGTCATGTACACACCACGATATATATATAGAGGCCCAGAGGGACAGCCAGCACCTATACACCTGGTGTAGAGCCCACGAGGGACAACGGACATGTACACACCACGATATAGAGGTACAGGGCCAGGGACAGCCAGCACCTATACACCTGGTGCAGAGGCCACGAGGGACAGCCAGCACCTATACACCTGGTGTAGAGCCCACGAGGGACAACGGTCATGTACACACCATGATATAGAGGCCCAGAGGGACAGCAGACACATGTGCACCCTAGTATAGAAGCCCAAGAGGGGCAGCAATCACATATACACCCTGGCATAGGGGCCCAGAGGGACAGTGGTCATGTATACACCCTAGTATAGACGTCCAAGAGGGACAGCAATCACGTATACGCTCTGGTATAGAAGCCCAGGACGCACAGCAATCACGTATGCACCCTAGTATAGAGGCCCAGCGGGACAGCCATCACATATACACCTAGTATAGAGGCCCAGGAGGGGCAGCCATCACATATACACCTAGTATAGAGGTCCAAGAGGGACAGCAGTCATGTATACACCATAGTACAGAGGTCCAAGAGGGAAAACAATCACATATACAGGTGGTATAGAGGCGCAGAGGTGACAGCAGTCACATATACACGATGATATAGAGATCCGAGAGGGACGGCAGACACGTTTACACCATGGTATAGAAGGCCAGAGGGACAGTGGTCATGTATACACACAACTGTCAACTTCTCCCTTCCTTCTGCAAGAAAAGGCTCTGGAAGTGGGAATGTGCCATTTCCTTCAAGGAGACGTTGCTTGGACCCCGAAAACACATAAACACGCTCAGATTATCGTGCCCACCTTCCTTCCCTCTCCACAGAGGGAATGTTTCTACCCACACATATATTTGTACTGAGTGGAACAACACACTGTTCTTTCCTTTCAAGGTCATCAGGAGGTACCAAAAGGTATCTCAAACCAAAAGCCAGCCATAAAGCGCATTAATATCTCCTCTATATGTGTGTGATATATATTCTGTCTAGGAGATGGACTTATGCACACCTTAAAGATCTGTATTACATTCTGGAAGATATGTATTATATCTAAGGAAGGAGACGATGACAGTCAAATTGTTCCAATGTGGAATACACAAGGACAGTTTTCTTAGTTCAGTTGCAAGGAAACAAACCTACACTAAGATAAAAGTTATGTGGAGGGGAAGTTGTCACTGGTACTGGATCTATGTCGAAATGTTCATTTATATAACACAGTAAGTATATATATTTGTACATAGCAATTAGTGAAAGTGTGTGGTCCTAATAGAAACCTACTCCACCGCAATGTGCTCATGATGTGGACTCCACACGTGAACATTTTGCCCACGCTGTGGCACTGCTCCAGCTGCTCTGCTTCCTACAGGGAGCAGGATGTTTGCTAGACTGTATTTCTGTTGGTTTGCACTTATGGTGGCTGTATGATAATCTGTTTAAACCAAGGACTGCAGTCCTGTGCTGCTAGGCACAACGATAATCACATTTTTGAACCCTGTGTTTCCTTGTGGAGTTCTGCAGAGGTCAAAGATCTCCTTATCTGGGCATTGCTTGCAGAAAGAAGGCACAAAGATAAAGAAAGTTCTTGAATTATAACATTGCTAGGAGAGTACTTGGGGTCACTTAAGCTGGGTGAGTGGGGTGACAAGCAGAAGGACAGAAAACAAAGAGCTTCTGGATCCAGGGCAGCAGCCTGGCTGGGGTGTTGAGAAGATGCCAATGTGAACACTGACCTCGTGTTTTACTAAGCAGCCAGCATTATCACAAGATTTGCTCAGTCCTCGCAAGATATGCGCATCTTGTGAACAGTTAGTATACTGTGCTGTCCATAAACTTGGATTCAGAGAGAGGAATAATGCACGTAAGATTTATCACATAACTTTCAAACAGTTGGGTTTCATCAGGTAGCCCTTCTAAGTGATCTTTTAATTATCTCACCACATGCATTTAAAATGTTGCTAGTAATAGCTACTACTATCTCTGCTTTGCATTCGGTTTCTTGATTTCTCCCTGACTGTCTCCCTTGGCCACTGTGGCAATGTTCCTCTTCTTTTTCCCCCCGTATGATGAAAACAACAATTGCACTTGGGGGGCTTTTTCCAAAGTGTGGTTCTGCAGAGAGGGTGCAATGGTTCACTCAGCTGGTATCTCCGCTATTCTCTTCTTTTTTCCTTTCTCAACCCCTTCTCTAGTCTCTTGCTGTGATAACCCACCTACTTTCACACTGTGCTTACCCTAGCAACTATGATCCTTCTCTTCCTCAGAATACCAGCCTTTGGTTAGAGTTTGACTTTAAGCACCATTTTATAAGCTGTAGGGATTCAGGAACTGAATGATGACTAGTTCAGACAGGCAGGCACGAGGAGGAGTGTGTCAACCTCCGGCAAAACTGAATTGTTTCTACTCATCAGAGCCCCAGGAAAGCTCCTGGCACTGCTAGCCTCTAAAGCTCTGACCAAATGTTGCAAAACTTACTCTCCTCTAACCTCTGTGTTTCTAAGAATACAAAATACAAGCACTGTTATGACAAGTTCAGAATGTCACAAGACAGAATTATCTAACTTTCATTCCAAAGCAGCCAAAACTTTTCAGGCTTATGAAACATCACATTGGAAGCCTCTTTTCAAATAGCAACAGGACACATTCCCCCTTAACAATCCTCTAATTATTTTCCAGGTCACACAGTTCAGAAATATGTTCCGCATGATAAATATTTTTGTAGAGGGAGACCATTTTTAACCCATTTTCTCACCACAGATTTTATCATTACCCATCTTCTCATCCGCAGAAGTCCTGCTTACCAGGACCCATAGGGGGAAGATGTAAACTTCCAAAGAGCATCCAGGCACCGGTTCAGGAGAGCTAACCAGGTGCTACTCAGGAGTACAAAAACCATTTATGTCAAGTTTCGAAGGCCTGTAGAAAGTACGATGAGACCATTCTACAGCCTCAGATGGCCAACAAACTGTGGCGTCTGCCATCGTGAGAACTGAAAAAAAAAAAAAGGAAAAAAAAAAAAAAACACTTCCATGGCTGTGGTTGCCCAAAAACAAACTGCCATGATGTGCTTACCCAGCCTGGGGCAGAGCTCAGGAGGAAGGAGAGAAGAATAAAGATGTCTTAATTTTAGCAAAGGGAAACTCCATCCCAGTTTGCAAACTTACATCCCAAGGGGCTGCTGAGTACACTGCAGCTGCTGTGAACTTTTGCTGACTACCTGCATGCAGCCACTGCAACTTCTGGGCAATGCAAAAACACATTGGCTAAAGTGACTTCTGGCTTCCAATGCAAAAATTATTCCTAAGATCTCTACAAATGTACAGTACAATAGTAAAAGCTGCATAGTCCCATTTGTGCTAAACATTTCAGAATATAATGGATGTCCATACAGCAAGGCCTTAAAACAATTGTTCATTTGTTCTCATGTTGTAGACAAAAAAAATGTATGAAGGCTTTACTTATAGTGCTCATTTACATATAGTGTTCATTGCTCCCAGATATAAATTCTGCATATGATCTGGTATCTGAAAGATGTGTTTTTTAAAAGTTGCTACAGACATGACATAAAAAAGAACTTGTATACTTTTGAAAGTTTTCTTCTTGTTAGACTTCAAAGGGCTGGTAATGAATACCAGTTGAAAAGTTGGTAGATATTTATAGCTATTTTTAAATTTTTCTTCTTCCAAAAAAAAAAAAAGGAATTAGCAAACATGTTCCATTAACCAGTTTCCTCTTATAGCTATAAAACCTGCATTGGCAAACTGTATACAGGTATAGGAAGTTCGTAGTCCTGTTTCATTATCTGAGTTGTAGTTCTCAGTAATCAAAGTACATCGTTGCTACTTAGTGCAGGTATTAAAAATTCCATTCATCTCTACCCACAGAATGAAGGGTTTATTTTTTTCTCAGATTTAATCTAAGTTTCTTCTAAATCTGTAGTTGTATCTCATGTGTTGCATATATCAGCATTTTATTATTGTCCTTTTGCTGGACTCTGCATCGCTTACAAGTACCCTTCCTCCTTCTATTGTGCAAGAGTGTTGAAGAGCAGTATCTTCGAAAAGGATTTACATCTACATGTTTCTTTTCGGAGGGAAACGGGAAATATATGAGGTTTATTGTCCTTTTGCTGGACTCTGCATCACTTACAAGTACCCTTCCTCTTTCTTTTGTGCAAGGGTGTTGAAGAGCAGTATCTTCAAAAAGGATTTACATCTACATGTTTTTGGAGGGAAATGGGAAATATATGAGGGCAGTTTCATAGCCACAATATATGCCATGCATAACGTCAAAATGTTTCTGCAAAGGAACACATGGCTGTTGTCCCTGTGGCTGCTAAAAGATTTTAAAGTTTCTGAATCTTGTGAAAAAATCTGTTCTTTCTTGTCACATGGTGCGTAGGATCTAAAGGTAAATAGGAACATTTGCTCTGAGATGTCCTATTAGGAGTCTTAGTACTATAATTAGTGCCTAGATGCAATACTGATGGGACAGCCAAAAGAGTGCTTTTAAGAAGTAATTATTGATTATTCTCTGCAAACAGTAGCTGAACTTTGTGTTACTGTTCAAAGAGGATCCTTCCTCTCTCTCCAGGTCATTCCTGTTCATCTTCCTCACTTTCCTCCTCTTTCTGCAAACACTTGTACCAAATGTGTTGATTAGATCACCTTTCTTATCTCCAGCCCACTTTTACACCCATTTACAGCCATTAATTCTTGTGATAACTTTGTAATTTAGCTCTTCTGTTAAAATTTCTTTATTCCCATGACTTGTTGAATTTCCTTTGCACAGCTGAGGAGCCATCTCGCTTGTTCTACCGCTCTTAATAAACAATCTCGCCTACTAAGCAGCACGGATGTACTTTGATCACTGAATCAACAGAAACTTGGAACTCGATAGATTAATGGTTGTGCTTACAATCAGCAGTCTTAATTGCCAGCTGCTGCCAGTCGCACCTGAGGACTCATAGAGTGCAAAACTCCGCAGAAGTGGTTGTGTTTCTAGGATATGTAACTGGACCAACCAGTCCCTAGGACTGGTCCCTTCTTCTCCATCAAAGCTTCATCTAGTTGCACAGAGGTGGAAAGTTCCTCCTGAGTCATCAACGCCAGCTCCCTCCTGTCATTTTAGGTAATGTTCATAGACCCGTCTTGCCCATACGCGGGGTTTACACTTCCCTTGTGGGGCTTCCCTAGCCCCTGTCCACGTGCTGCAAACGCCTTTGTAAGGTCCAGGTTTAGTTTGCTCGTGACCAGGAACGTCCACGTGTCGCAGCTTTTCCTGCTACCCCTCTGTTATCCTGCCCCGTCCTGCAAGCTGCCGTGCTACACGCGAGCCTCGTTCCTGCCTTCGCCTGGCCCAGGAGGCAAAGGCGTGACCCCGCCGGGCCACCCGTGAGGCTGATCCCGGGGGCAAGACGGGCCTTCCCGGACTCCCGGGACGGGTA